CTCTGGATTAATTTGCAGTTTATTTATTACAAAGATGATCTACAGTATACTGTTATATAGACTGATATAAATAGAAAGACAACGTTCATTGTGTGTGCATGTATTTGTGTATGTACGGAAGCTGTGTGTGTGTTTAGTAAACTTCTTCGAGAACCTAAGACAGCCTAATATTTTATACTATAACCTGTGAGAATATAATAGCCTCGCATAAATAAGATAATAACCGGCCTGATATAACTTATATAATTATGATATAACCACTGTTAAAACTATAATACGTATACCAGCCTAATAACATCTAGTACACCAACCTGATAAAACAGAGATGGTCACGTAGTCATCCAGCCAGTCAGACTCGAGAAAGCGGGCCTCCTACATGAAAACTAACTCGATATTTTCTCCCACGCGGAGATTGTGAGGTTCGAGTACAGTACAGTACAGTATGTTTCTCTGCTCGGTATTTATGTATTTATACCTACTGAAATGAAAAACGGTAATAATGGTAGAAAGACCTTTATTAAGAAATGTTTAGAGACTGACTGATGGTGATGAAAATGTTGCAAGTTATATCTGATATAATATGACAAACATTAAACTTTTTAGGACCTGGAGAAGAGACCCGCCGATTTGTCAATTATCTCAAAAGGCTTCTCTTTCAATAATTACATAGATTCCTTTGGGTAATATCAATGGTAATTTTATAAACTAATAGGTAAAACAACACGGTAACACTCAAGAAAGTTGTCGTGAGTTGTCAAACTCTGTCCGTAAGTCAAAATTAGCATTCATAGAGCTGTTTAGTACAATTTCGAAATAAATATTGCGACTTTAGTGAAAAAATTTCGAAACCGAAATGTTCCTGGCCTGAGATTGGACTAAAAGCCAGCCTAGGCAATCTACTGCATAATCATGGGAAATACCAATACAGAATTTAAAGCCACGAAACTGCTGTCATTGTGGCCGAGAGAGAACGTGATAAGAACTATTATTTTCTATGCAGGCTTGAACCATCAGTTCCTCTCCAAGATACTTAAAAAGAAACTGAATTATCGCGTTGCTTTGAAATGATTACTGGGTAATATAAAAGGCATAGTCGTAGTGAAGTAAATTAACTTATATACTGTAGAATGATAACGCATAAATTACCAAACTGCCCTCGCTTGAAGATTATTATCTCCTGCTCGTTACAAGAATGATACCAATAAGTTTTTTCATGATTGCTTATTTATGTATTTATTTATATATTTATTCTATGTATATATTCACTTACTGATCAACTCATTCGTTTATTCGTTCATCTATTTGTTTCGAGATAAGTGCAAATGAAATTATACGTTTAATACATAAAACATACATAAAACCTTAAAATAAACACAAACTCGTACACCTGGAACTACATTCACTTAGCAACACACAACAACGAACCATTTAGAAAGTCCTCATAGCTGTCTCCGTCCTTAGTTTGGTTTATGATAGACAATGGCCGTTGTTATTGTTAATATTTTAGTATACGTACAGGCCTCAACTGCTTGGGTCATTACGCACCAAGCACGTCTTTATTTATTTTAATGGGAGAGAACTTTTACAAATTTGGAAAAGTAAAAGTCAACATCATTATTACCGTTCTTTGATAGTGGAAGAAGCCTGGTGATAGCGTTATGGTTCAGGAAATGAAACCTATGTGATGCTAAGTGAAAGTATCTAGTTAAAGGCGAGTCTCGGTGTAATTTTAATGTCACGGTGTACGTTATTTTTGTGCTTTGGCTTCTTATGTCATCCAGATACATTTAAAAATTATTTTAACGTATGTAACTGGTGGTAAATAGAGGTAGTTAAGTAGCCTTTATGTAATTCTGATGTCATATTTTATGTAATTTTTGTGCTTTGGCTTAAATCCCGCCAGTTAGAAAAATTTCCTTCTCCACGTAAGAGGAAATTTAACTTATGCAACTGATGCAAAGTGAAAGTAGTTAGGTGCAGTCTCAGAGTAATTATATTAGCATATTGGACGGTCTCTTTGTGTTTTGGTTTAAAATTATGACAGTCAGTCAGATACAAAATATAACGAACGAAGCTTTGAAAACCCGGTAGCCTTGTGGACAGACATAAAGAGATCGACAAACCCACTGAGAGAGAAGCAGACACAGGAAGAAAGAACTAACGACTGACAGACAAACATAAAGAAACAGATACAAGGAAGAAAGATGAAACGACTGAGAGAAAGGATGAAGCCAAAACGACTGACAAACGGGAAGAGAAGATAGCTGACAGGCAGATAAACAGGAAGACAAAACGACTGACAAAGACAAGTGCACAGTAAAACAGCTCACTTTGCGTCGCCCACCTGCTATCAATCTCCCTCTTTATTTTCCACTTCCTAACCTTACCTTCCTCCTACACCGTCCTCCTCCTTCCTGAGCTAATGGCTCTCTTCTCTCCATCCCATCATCATAATTATGATGGAAAGAAAACAAACGAAAAATAAAACAAAGATAAAGCACATATAGGTAACACAACATACAAATTAATCAGATTTTAAATCATTGAACTAAAAGATGCAGATGAAAAGTTGTAAAGGCCAACAAAAACTACTAGGTAGTGAGTTCCAAGTAAATGTTGTGACGCTGGACTCGGGAGACTGTAAGCGGCTGACGGCGCACGCTTCCAGCCCAGTGATCCAGTGAGAGGAAACTGCTGTCATTACCGCCGGACAATTGCCAGTGCTTGAGCACGGAAAATTTGGTATTACCTTCGACGATTACACTGGTTTAAAACCTCCCCGGAGAATAAAGTGAGGTTCAAGAGATCATGGCCGATGCTATTGAAGGAACGAAACTTATGGTGAGTGGTACAAGTTTTGTGAGAGTGAAATGTTTCCTTTGTACACGACATAACTTTTATATTTTGAAACGATAATGTGTCAATTTTAAGGAAAGTACGATTTATTTTCTTTGCAAAACGTATGTAGCATTTACTCCTGCAAATGTATGTCATATATTTTGTAAAGACATGATGGGTAGACTGTTAAATTCACGTTATCTGGTGCAAAGTGACTACCATCTAGTTTGTCGTTGTGGTTCAGACGGCAGAGCATCAGCTGGTGGTGAGTTTCTAGTTGGCATAGGGACCACAGTTCGACCCGAAATGAAGAAAGTGGATGACAATACCCTTATTCCGCTATAAATGTATGGGGCTTTATATATACCTAAAAATAGAAACACTTTGGGAAGTGTTGAAGTAGAGAAGAAATCAGCGAAGACAAGAGAAAAACGGCGTGCGCGGAGAAGACAGCAGCATTGCCCCCATCCACATACAGTAGACCTTGATTGTCCCGATCTGTTCGAAACTAGTGTCGCGAATTGGTGGAAGGTCGGCAAAGTCTGTATATGTTAAAAGATTTTGAACTTTATTACCCTTTCTGGTTGAGAGTTGCAGAGGCCAGCAACAGTCTTGGCCAAGAAAAACTAGCTTTAGATTAATTTTAAAGTTTTTTTTTATTTCCTCCAATATCAGGGTGGCATTGGTACAAGGCACAGAAGGGCATGGGCAGCAGTGTAGCTTGGCACAGAGGGGCATGGGTGGCTGGCGGCAGGGCAGCATGTTACAGAAGGGCGTAGGTAGCAGTGCAGCATGTTACAGAGGGGCATGGGGGGCAGTGCAGCATATTACAGAGGAGCGTGGGCGTATACATTTGTAAAGGATACCGTGAACTGGTTGAGAAAATGAAGAGTGCTTACACATGACATTTTCTCAAGAGCCGAGGCAGTTCACAAGCACAGGTCGGCCTTGAAACACTGGCTGGGTCTTGAAAGGAAATTTTAAATACCTATCACTGGGCATGGCTGCCGCTCCTCTACCAGGCTGCATCGTCAAGGACGGAGTGATCCACCCACCTGGCGTTAATTTGCATAGCCGCCCACGCCTAAGTTTTACGCGCCGTATGCCATCCTCTACTAATACACAGGTTCACGCCCCTGTTCACCAAACTACACTATTCTACACCTAACTATCATGCGCTGTTGCTTACGCGAACGCCACGCTGCACTTCGACACTATCATGCACTACCACCCACGACCACTTCACCCTGCACTTGACACTACCATTCACTACTACCCACGCCAACGTCACACTAAGCTTGACACTTATCATGCACTACCACCCATGACAACCCCATAATACACTTTGACACTAATAATTCACTACCACCCACGTCGCACTACACTGGACACTCGTCCACTACTGCCCACTCATATCACAACCTCCTCGCTATCTGTGGTAGGCTAACTGTACAGACCTGAGACTTAATTGCAATTAGAAAATTTCAAGTCCGATTTGAATGGTCGTTCATTTATCACTACACAAGTGTTAGATAAGCTTCTCAATTAACCAATTCATCTAAATCCTTTCACATATAGACAAACACTCAAGATCCTTACCTCATCCACCTACTATTAAAAACTCGTCACGCACTTGCACATATCCAGTAGCCTGCCTACATACACACACACAAACTCGACGCAAACCCGTCCATCTTCCCACACAAACCCCCTACCCCCATCACAAACCCATCCGACCACACACACAAACCCCACCCTTACCCAAACCACCACCACCACACAGCAATGGGGCAACGTAACAGGACGGGACCCGACAAGGCCAGTCGCCCACACCACCACACTCACCCCAGCAGGAAGCACCAACCCCTATGCCCACACTCCAATCTTTTATATACAACCGTAGCTAGTTTTAGCCATTTCGTTCGAGGATATGGTATTCCACTTATAGTCGACAGATCTTAGAAGGTTGCGTTATCTATAACTACATGAACACGGGCGATTTCAAAGTTCATGGGTCGGCTGTGAACCTTGAGTCGTCTTATTTAGCAATAGGATCACTACGTAGACGCACCCAAATCTCCATGAACCAGAGGTCTCTTGCACTCTGAAAACTTCCCCATTTTATCCATGACATGACGGAACTGGACCAATCATATACTTACTCATTCTTGCGGAGTTTTGTGAAGCACTATCCTTAAATAGGAACGAGTATCACGAGGCAGAACTACCTCCTCACTCCTCTCTTACACCTGTGTGACTGACTAACCAGGCTCACCGTAAGTCCGTCATCGGGACCGAGAGGCTCCCAGTCCCATCACCAGCTGAGGCAAGAGAAAACGGGAAATGAAGTGATCTCGCGAGATGAAATTCAGTCAAAATATAAACAAAACTTCAAAGCCTGTTTCTTGCTAGAAAAAACAATTATATAAACAAATCTACTTAACTGCATCTTAACAGTAAAAACATATTTTACATAATTATCATAAATCATGGGTTTCAAGACCATCTTGCAAACAAAATATCCGTTATTTATTTTATTAATGCCTTTTCATTATATTTTTGATAGGGGAACATGTCTCCACTGACTCCATTCTACAGAGCAGCACATAAACCAACAGCGTCTGCGATAATAATGATGGCGTCAATGGCTGTAAGTCATTACATCAGCGGTATTCACCCTTAGTATCTTAGACTTAGTTTTTTTTTTTTTAAGAGCCGTGCAAGGCGCCTTATGGTGGTGTGTGGCCGCCCACCTGTATGAACGGTGAGGGGTTTACCCGGCGTGCGGTTCTTCAACACAATTATTGTAGATGCCTGTAGTAGGCTTGTGGAACCGACAGATACGTGGATATGTACTTAATCTATGCAAGTGATGCATTGGCTCAGTTCTCAAATATTATACCATTGTAATTGTTACGTTTGGTCACCTAATAGTTAATTTTCACATTAAGTACATCCAGAAGAACATAAAAACACCAATCAAATCACCTCGGAAACCAATAGTTGGCCAGTTCTGTAATTAGCATTGAGTAAAATGTCATAAAAATCTTCCAAGCGTCATTATAACCTTTAATTGCTCTGCAACCGAACTGTCGAGCTTAGATTCGGAATCGGCATGCTCAAGACTGCCTGCACTGTACTGTACTGTACTGTAGTACTGAGATTTTGAACAAAATCGCATATATCACGATTTTTTTCGGCCCTGAAAAGGGGACCCTTAAGCGTATTTTTACCCAGAGATGATTTTCTCTCGGACTTGAAATTTGGTGGGATTAACTACAGTAATTAAGAACATAACACCAACCAATCACCTGGGAAACCAATAGCTGTTCGACACCACAAACAGTCCATACGAGAACGTACCCAGTTCCAACCATTGTAAAAATTAATATTATTAGTTGACGAGTAGTGATTAGCATTGAGAAAAATTTCATTAAAAATCTTCCATTCAACTGCTTGAGGACAGCCATGCATGAAGCAGCCAGTATCTATGCAAATGGCACTGCTGGAGGCGGTGTTGAACGTTGATTTAGCTTTCGTTAATAGTTTTAGCTGCATACTATCATCTCGATAGTACTTTCTTAATACTGAATGAGTTAGGTAGTAAATTACAGTAGTTGTGTTCTATTTATTATTAGGTTTTTTCATGTTTGTGAACCGATTTATTTGAAACTACTGTAGTGTGATGCTTAACAATGTGAAATGCATGAATATCCTCTACAGCAGCAACAGCATCTTCTAATTTACAACCTGGTTTTACAAAATAATCTCGGCTTTCGTGATGAGTTCTCTCCTCGAACTGCTTCTTTGTGCTTGTCTGAGTTTACATATGTTTGTAAATCATTAATGCCTTTATTTACCACAGAAACATAAGTTCCTGGTTTACAGACCAAACATTCTTCTCTACCACAAAGGGAGTTTGTTTTATAAATATGCAGTGAATTTGCATTTTCCGTTTTGGAATTATGTTTGAGGGCAGTATGCTACAAGCAAAAATATTGAGCTTTTGAGTTTACAGGAACTACTGCAATGCTCTGCTCTCTGTAACGCTATGCACCGAACTTGGCCTCACTGCAATTGCAAAGGATAAAAAGAGTTGACAATTTTAATTTCTAATATCTCTAACCGCTGTAGGCCTATTTGCTCTTACAAGTCACTGGAATATTAAAACAATTTCCACCAAAAATGACAAGACTTATCAGGGAAATATAAGGAAATCATAAAAAAATTATAAGAATGTCTTAAACACTTCTTTATTTTATATCGGTAGTTGTAGATGTGTTGCTAAATATAAATGAATACTGATACATCTAGCTTCATAATCACTGAACTGGCCTTTCTGCTGCAGACCAAAATACAAACGTTCCTTTCCAGGATGAAAACTGAACGAAGCTCTCTCTTTCTCTCACACGTTTAACACTTTTAATTTTTCTCAAAAGGTACATTTTTCACAGGGAAAAATTATGAAGGCAGCAATCCTGGACTTTTTAACCAATATAAATATTCCTCCCAGACAAAGATTTAAAGAAAAAAAAAATCCCGGAAAATACCTAAGAGGGTATGGGGTAGCCACTCTAAACCACCCCATTCAGCCATCAGGTACCACAGTCTCTTTGGTACAGTAATAGTGTATCCTTCCTGCACTCCTTTATGTAAAAGCATTACAGATTTATTCTTATCTTCTCAATACTCTATTACAATACTGGGATCTCAAACTGAGAAATATACTGTACTGTATAGTGTATTTCAAAATACCCGTAAACTGGGGAAGGTGTTACAGTATACAGAATGGTTTTTCCATATTCTTAGCAGGTCTTCCTTCAAAAAACTAAAAGGTGCCATTGCTGAAATCTTTCTAAATAAGTGCATCTGTATTATTCAAGTCAAGACTGGGGTAACATTTATAGTTAAAATATACTGTACAGCAATCTCTATTTTATTACAATGCTCAATACAGTAACGTTAATTTCATAAGAAAATTATCCATACTTTTTTCCTATTGAAATGTTTTTTTTTACACCTCATTCTAACGCAAAATCTCCCCAACTGGCAAATGCCAAAATTTCAACCTCATGGAGATTAGATTCATTCATTGTTAAACCACTTTGCATCTGCATGGTACCTTGCAATATGCAAGAAAAGACTTGGAAAAAGTCACCAAAACAAATATATTTTAATTTATCAATGATTTCCTGCAATTTACTTTAATTGCTAAAATTTTGATTTTTCACTTGGGTGTATTATACTCTATGTACGGGTACTGTATAAAAAAAAACCCTGCCCCCTTCTCTCATTGATACAATGACACAAAGGACTAATAATTCTGATCACTATTTGTGAATCCTTGAAAACAGAAACGAAACTGCTGTACATTGTGTTCATTTACAAACACATCAGTCCAAGGTGGGCAGTTAAGTGTTTTTTTTTTTTTAGGTAACCCTTGATACAAATGGGTTATCTGGGACGAAAGCAGATTTTGTGTGTGTACAGGTAACCTTGAGATATGAATAGGTTAGCTAAAAAAGGGGGGGGCATTCCTTTGGTGAAACATGAGGGAAAAATAGGGCTTGGTTCCTCAATGACAAAAATGCCCACTATCATAAACCAAAAACACACAAACAGTTCACAAACAAGAAAAATCTAATGATAAATAGAACACAATTACTGTAATTTACTTTAACACATTAAGAAAGTATGATCTAGATGTAAATATGCAGCTAAAACTATTAAGGAAAGGCTAAATCAAAGTTTAACACGGCTGCCAGTGGTGCTACGTGATTGCATAGATACTGGCTGTTTCATGTATGGCCTCCCTCAGGCAGTTGAATGTGTCACACAGCCTAGAGGATGATTTGCATATGGAAGCTATTCTTTGTACATAAAATGTATACTGTACCAGTAAATGCGAGGAATAAATAAAATAAAATATACAGTACTGTACCATGCGTTAGCATTCGGCAATCTTGTCAATAGCATAGCTTGAGAACACCATTCCCTCTGTGCTAGCTCCCACATATAATGCTTAATCCCTTTATGTTTTTGACCTTTGATAATTATTTTCTTTTGCACATTCTGTATGAACTTGTGTGTGCAAAAAAAAAAAAAAAAAAAGAACGAACATTTTGTTTACCTACCAGTAAATACGAGTTGAAAAATAACAATATAGTAACAAAACTAGGCTTGGCAGGAGGCTGAGATACTGTCTCTCCCACAATTCTTGGAGGCCTAAGAAATGTTCATCCCTAAATGTTTTTGACCTTATGATAGTTATTTCATTTACTTTTTTGCACATTATGTATGATTGTGTGCATATAACTGAATAAAAAAGTGAAGAAAGCTTATTTTATCTATCTGAAACTACAAATTGAAAATAATCATAACATAAACCCCCCCCCCCCACCTCATCCTACTAACTCTTGCTGGTGCACTAAGAAATATTTATTCCCTTATGTTATTGACCTTATAGTTTTTATTTATTTTTTTCACATTCTGTATGCAGGATTGTGTGTGCATATAATTGAATGACAACAAATATGAAGTTATGTTTCTATACCCAAAATTATGATTTGAAAAATAACCATAACTCCTACCTCAGCCAGGTAGGGAGAGCACTAGTGTGTGTGGTCACCCTCGCTGACTCCCAGGGAAGCACAATTTGAATGTTTGCCTGGACCCAAATTCATATAAGCAGGGAAAGATTTTGTGACCCAAAACAGTGGTGTCAATTTAGGAAATTCGTACAAGTGAATTTTCATATCTCGAAGGATACCTGCACCTTGTAAAAAAATCAACACAAGTATTGAGTATAATCTTTTTTATGAATTACTTTTTGGCAGAAAAAAAGTTAGAAATTCAACCACGGGGAAAAAAAAAAGCAAGCTTATGACAGAGATCTAAAAATTTATTAAACTCAACAATCATATCCTTCAACACATGAAGTACCAAAAGATAACCACTTTATAAGAAGGTACAATACTATAAAGATAGAAGGCTCAAGAAATTTATTGTGGATTCATGTGCAAAAACTCTGGATTTTTTACATGTTTAAAGTGATGTATTCCAATATATAATTATTGAATACCAAATTTTCTGCAATTTAATAACAAAACAATGATTGGAAAGAATACTAGATATCCTAATTAAAGGAAAAATTTTCTTCTGGAAGTTTCCATTTCATGTCTCTTGAGAGCCCATTCATAATCTCCTTCAAAGGCCCCTTGCTGTAACCACTGCAGTCGTAAGGTAAATCTTGGACCCATCTCTCGCAATTTTACTCTCTCTTGGTTCTTAAATTCATACCTGGTTTAAAGAAAGATATTAATTATAAAGTATTCCAGCTAAGATTAGGGTAAACCAGCATAAGAACATAATAATAAAAATTTGAGGTGAAGATAACCAGTATAGTACAATGCTCTAACCATTGATCATAAGTTGGATTTTGCCTTATCCCAGAGGAGGTAGAACCCTTACTGTGTTGCATAATGGAGGTTTTACTGAATACCCATTACAGGTATTATATATCCTTCAGTAGTCAACTGGTAGCACATCAATTTCTTATTCATACTCTACTTCAATTGTGTATGGGAGCCCCTCTCTGCTTAATAAAATCATCTAGCATTAACCATATGAATATTAAAAGTGGCATCCCAGTAGCAAAGGGGTGAACCTCTGAGTTGCAGCACCAAAATAATTTATAAAATTTGGTTAAAGAAGTCTTGTTTATTAGTTTGGTTTCTTAAGTGAAGTTACACCTACTTGTTTGCTATGAAGAAAATATGTAAATATATGTAAATCCATGCAGAATGACTGATGCCAGATGGAACAATAAAAATTAAATGAAGACAAAATTATAAATTTAAGCAAAAAAATTACATTTATTGAAAATTACTGCTTCAGACATGTCAAGTGCAGGCATGTTTTGTGCCAAGCTCACAAAATATACTGTACTCCAAGGAAGAACGTTACTCAAGAATAGTGACAGGAGAAACAAGACTTGTCACATTACACTACTGTAATTGATGACCAAGCTCAAATAATCTACCATAGTCAATTATAGAAAGTATCAAGGCCTTTAAACACTCAAGTATGTTTTCTTGAAGGAAGAATCTCCCCATCCCCTCCTCTCCAAAACCTATCTGAATAACATAATCGGTAGCTGGTTATTCTACATCTGAAGATAGTAAGGCAGCACCATAGTTACTATATATAATTGGTTTCTAAAGCTTATTAAGCCTGAGTAAAAGTTAGTATACTAAAGTGTGTGGTGCATGCAGGCAACTATGATTCAGCAAAACCATTAATAAACTGGGCAATTATTTTCTGGAATAGTGAAGCATCATTGACATTTGTACTTACAAATGGTCAATGGATGTAGTCCACAACACCATCTACTTTGAATATGACACACACTGTATAAAACTGAACAATAAACTTACCTATGGTGGCGGAAGAATATATAATCTCTCTGGTTATGGAAGGTACATGCTCTTCGCCCCTTAAACTCTGGTTCATAATGGAAGAGGGCACCCAGCATTCGAGCCACAACTCGTCCCAGCCTAGTCTTGAAGTTATTGAGAATTACCTCGGGTCTGTTGACATTGAGATTTTATTAAGAATTACCTGGGGCTTGTTGTTAGTAAAATTTATTATTTGTATCCATAAAAAGAATAAATGAGAATTAGCAACTCATAATAGTGTAACAATTACTCCAAGTAACACTTTTTTGGAGTGGAATTGAGGGGGAAAAATCAGCAATATGAGCAGCAATACGTTTTCAAACCAAATGAGGCAAGATGGAGTAAATAGAATTAGAGTTTACAGATCCTTATGCATACAGTTAAGTATGGATAAAAAAATAGTTAAAGCTTCCTATATTTACAAATTACACATCTTTTTGTACAGTAATAGCTACTTATCTTACCTATGCCCTGATATTTCTTTGTGGTCTCTATGGATTTCTTTACAAAGTTTTGGATTGCTTAGCCTGAAAAGTGCTGTGGGTCCCTCTGGTAAGTGAACAACTAGGAGGCCATCTGTAAATAAAAATTCACATTCCTCTATCAGGGTTTCACCAACAAAAAATAAAATTGGTCTTATTTCAAATATATCTTGTACAGATAAATATAATTTCACAACTAATGAACACTCAACAAAAATAAACACCAGCTTAAAATAGTACAAAACTTTAGGAATAATGGGGCTACAATAAAATTGAAGAGCATGAAACCTTCACCAATTTTCATTTAGATAGAACATTTAGATTTCATGAGAAACACTATGAAAAAAAGATGGACTGATCTTGAAAACCTATTTAATACCAGTACCTTCAGGCAAACTGCTTACTCGAAAATCAAGATAAGGTGATCGGGCAATATTGTACAGTAATAGCATTTGTTTTACAGAACTCTAGAAACTGCCAATCAAATAAAGATCTAAGACATCTGCTTCTCAATAAAAAAAAATAAAAAAAAATAAACTGCCATACCATACTAAAAGCTTTGTTGAAAGAAGCTAAATTCAATTATATTTGGGATAGGAAACTGTTATACTTAGTCTAGCAAGTCAAATATCCTACTTGGTATTCTTTTGTCCTCATTAACAATGACCACATCAGTGAAGCCATTCGCTGTTGCCCTTTTGATCATCTTATTAATACTAGACCTCTTCCTCCACATTGGTTGGGAATTGGGAATCATACGACACAGCTCACGAATAAATGCTATACTTTTCTGAAATTGTTAGAAAGATTACAGGTTTGTGTGAGACAGTAAACATACCGAAGTATATGTATTACACAATGCAGATGTAAAGCTTATTTTTCTAATGATGCTGAAGCTGGGGAAAAATCACATTTACTGTAATTGAGATTGAAGGTGTAAACACAGACTTTTAACTTCTGAACACAAAATACAGTAATTCTAAGTTTAACTTTTCTGAATTTTTTTATATAAATTATTCACTCTAAAGTGAGTTTTATAACTGGTAAATTAAGTACGATTTATATAAAAAAATCTACTTTTACAAAAAGTTTATTCTTTTTGAATATCTTGCTAAGTTATTACACCTTGCACATTATAAGATGAAAACACAACTCCTTACTGTATGTGGGTTGTCACTGCATGTTACAAGAACCTTTGGGACATAAGACTTGGAAAAATAAGAAGCAAAGGTATCTGTTGCTTCCTCTTGCTCCAATTCATCGTCTTCATCATCGACCATAGTCTCGTCTTTCTCACGTAAAGACTCAATAGTGTGGGGCTGTTTTTTTGGAGGGGCATCATCTCCAAGTCTTTTAGCTTCTTTCTTCCTATCCTTTTTTTCCTTTATCTTTTCCTGAAAAGAGGAATTACAACAATTATGTAACCCATTATTTATGATGGAAAATAATTGGCGGCAATCATAAACCTAGGTAAAAATAAGGCGGATTTATACACCTAGATCATATTGCCCCCTCACTTTACGTCTCTCGAGGGAGTGCAAATTCAGATGCTTTAATCTGCCTCTACACTCAAGGCTCCTAATGCCCAAGATTAGCCTTGCCATCCTCCTCTGTATGCTTTCTAGGGATTAGATATCCATTCTGTAGTAATGTGACCAAAACTGAATCACATAACCCAAGTGAGGTCTCACAAGTGCAAGATATAGTCTTAGGATAAACTCACTTGTCACTAACACTACTTTGTACGAACCCAAGTACGGTAGTTTGTTAGTCTTGGTTCGAGCAAACACACACTGTTGTCTTGTTTTAAGATTCCTACTTATCATTACCCCTAAATCTTTCCGTTTAATTTCTCTATACTGTAGAGTATCAATGTTGTTCGTCTGATATCTGGTTTCTATATTTACATCTCCTAAGCTAAGTACTTTATATTTTTTCAAAATTAATTTCATCTGCCATTTTCAGACCATGAGAAAAATTTGTTTTGATCTTCCTGTAGTTTTGCCAAATTCTCATCAGATTTAATTACATGCCTTATTTTAGGTTCTGGTATCGTGTATCTTGTAAATAATGTAGCTACAGTATAACTCATAACAAACTACAGTACAGTAATGCACATCTTAATTGTACTGTACTGCATTTGTAATGTAAAGAAAAGTCCTCGTTTAATGTTGTCCCCCTGAAACGTTGTTTCGTTATAACGTCGCTATTCTTTAGACACCCATGATTCGGACTACGTCCCGCCGATTCAGTATAACGTCGTCATGGACTACTTTGTATGGCATATCACCCTCTCTCATCTTAGCGCGACACCTTTTCTCGCAGAGCGTCACAGCGTCCCCAAGCGTAACCAGTCTTTGTTAGGCTTCCACAGCATTCGTGCGTGTTTAAGTGTTTTTGCTCTAAATACTGTACGTACTCTAACCATTCGAAATGGCTTCCAAGCGCCCATCAAGTGCTACTGATGCTAGTGTTGTGAAGAAGCAACATAAGACCATTAGCCTTGCTATAAAAATGGAGGAGGAAACCCAGTCAAAGCGGGAGGAGGAGCAACCCGCCAGGTCTCAGTGACTCGGCACCCTCCTCCTCTCCACTACCCACCACACACTCGCTCCACCTCCGCCCATCAGTGAATGCAATACAAAATGATTTAGTTTATTTATATATAATATTTTCTATAAAAATGCCTTTGAATTTATGTATATGTAATGTATTTTATGGGGCAAATGGAGGCTGGGGAACGTAACTCCTGTATTTTATCTATTTCTTATGGGGAAAATTGATTCCGTTAACGTTGCGGTTTTCAGGAACAGAACCACGACATTAAACAAGGGCTTACTATATAGCTATTATTGTAATGTATACTCATGAATATGTATGTAAATAAATTTGTGTTTTGAAAATGTATTTAATTTAAATGCCTAAAAAATACTGGAGGTTGTTCTGGTACAGGTATTGTGTACCTTGTAAATAATGTAGCTACAGTATAACTCATAATGAACTACAGTACAGTAATGCATAAGATCTTAATTGGGTAATTATAAATTTTTTGCCCATTCCCTTATTTTGTTTTGAAATTGTTTTCTATTGTATTTTGTTTCTATTGTATTTTGGTGTGTTTTAGTCAAATATGACCTTCATTTCTTGTGCAAACGAGCCACCTTTTCTAGAAAATTGGCAACCCCCCAAAACAGCAATTTTTACAAGAAATCAAGGTCATATTTGATTAAAACTTACCAAAATACATCAGAAAAATAATTTCTCATAACAGAAGAAGGTAACCTAACTTAACCTCACCTAACCTACCTTTGCCGACAGAATTGCTGCTAACCATGACTGCATTGTTGCTAACCTGGACCAAAGGTAAACTTATAATTCTACCTAACCTAACCTACCATGACGTCATGGCCTACCCACTCTGGTGGACTGCCAAATCACCTTGGCGGAGATGAAAGCAGGTCGATGTTTGAGGGTAAATATATTAAAAACTAAACAGTTGCACAAGAAACATTACTCTTAAACATTGATTCAGAATTAAAAAAAAATTATATTTGGATAAGTCAGAAAAACTAGAAGAGGAATGGGTGAGACATATATTAACCCTTCAATGTAGCCTACTAACTGAATTGTATTTTTCTAAGGAGTATTATTATAATGTCCAGACACTATGTTAAGGATACAATAATGTATCAACACCATTAGAACATTATAACAGAACACTATACAGTATAAGAACATTATTTTTATATTCCTAATATATTAGGCTGTGGATATTTTGCTGTGACCAGCTAAGTTCCTACTTACGCTATTTTACCAAGTGTTGGAATGCTGGAAAGTTTTAAAAGGAGGTTAGATAGATTCATGGATGATAGAGAGTGATTGTAACTCTAGACAGGAGCTGCCATGCACAGGCCAACTGGCCTATTGCAGACTCCTTATTTTCTTATGTATACTGATTTCATTAGTGGTTATTTGAGAGGTATATCTGGACTTTCCAAAACTTATTACCTCTGATGACAACCAGACAAAATATCCACAGCATTTAATTTCTGCATAATATTGGAATCTGGCCAATTCTGGAAACATTCTTGGTATTAATGTATTGGAATTCACACGGTGTCATTTTAGGATTAACCAGGCCTCATTATAGAATTTTCCAGTACGCTTTTTCTTGCCTCCGCTTACTATAATTTGACCTGCCACAACGGGAATACAAGGTAGGTCCTCAAAATGGCCACAATTTCTTGTAATGCACAGCATATGGTATTATTTTTGGTTAGGTGATCTTAGGAATTTAACTAATGGAATAAGTAGCTTAAATAATTCTACCAGTAAGACACTTTTCTTCTATGACATTTCCCTTGCAAACGATTGATTCCAATAATATAATTATTATGGTAAGATTCCCCGGATGACCGAAAGTAAAACTTTACCCAGCCTAATTCCAGAATTGCCCTTTACCTACAATATAGGAATTCCTAAAGTACCCATTAACACATTGTGGGTTACTCCAGAATTAGCCAGATTCCATTCCACAACTTCATATTAATAGTGAATGTCTTGTAAACTTATGCTGGATAGGTTTTTCATAATTTAAATGAGTGACATGACGCTGCAATACACTGAACACCATAACTCTAACTACCAAATATTACCACGTGTTATTGTTGAACTTTAATCATAGTGGCCTAATAAATCACCTGGGATTTGTTTAACACATTGGAAATAAGCACTGGTAAATACTTCGTGTTATCCTCGGTAAATGACTATACTGTATATGTACTGCATAAATATTTACTCACAAATTCATATCAAAAAACAATATTCAGACAATTCTTACCACCCCACCAAACAGTCACCTACCGTTCTCTTCTTCCGTTTCAACTCTATACATAATTTTTTCCTCTTGTTTTTATTCTTAATATCACTTATATTGGACCTAGCAGGCTTGCATGGTCTAATCTCAGGTACTATTTCTTCCTGGGTCTCCTCTATCTCGATCTCCTCGCTGGGGGCGGCCATGCTTGTCTTCCTCTCCTAGTAATACCGGAACAAACCAGTGTATTGTACATTTCCCTCTAACAAAAAAAAATACCACTCAATATATCAAAATCAGTGAAAAAGAGTCAATTTAAAGGTATATTTTTTTTAGTTTAATGGGTGTTTTTAAAGAAATATTTATATATGGTTAATGAATATGATGAGCCATGTGTAGACCGAGCCAGACTTCTACCAGTCAGTGTTGGATCTTCAGCGTTGGGAAGTATTGCCTTTGTCAGTTTTCTTCATTAAACGTCATACATCATGCCTAAAGGTAAATAACATATCTCTCTTTGTGTTGTATATACTACTGTGTGATTTATTAGTTGTATTTATAGTATACTGGGAGGTAGTTTTAGTGTGATGTGTGGGGAAAAATATTAGAAATGGTCATACCAGATGCTTTTTCCGAGGAGTTGCACAATGTAATGTACTTCTCTTAATTTCTGTCTCTGATGTGTTATTTTAGGCAGTGATTGAAAGAAATAATGATTTGAGTAGTGATAGCCTGTTGTTGGTAACTCCATATATATGAGTTAATAATTAAAATCAATAGCATGTGTCATATGTTAGTGGCTTATATGTACAGATACCGAGTACTTTTTAAAAGCATAATTATTGTAATTTTATGCGTATAAGGTTGGTTAGGTTGGGTTATATTTGGCTCGTTAAAGTTTTTGAGGAGTAAAAAGTCAAGTTGATGTCTAGCTGCTTTTCTGAGATGATGCAACAGTGTACAGTACTTACAATCCAGAATTTCCTAAATGTAGATTGCAAAATAGGGAATTATAGTGCGTTTTCCGGAAATTTCGCATGGCACCAAAATTGCACATATGTGTGTCAAAAGGTCGTATAGAAGCGGTTAATATTAAGACTTTTTTTTTACGGGAATTAGCCCACCTGGGCACAGGTCAAACGACCCACAACAGGGCCTGGAGGGCGAAAAAAAAGAACAGACAGAAATTGAAAATAGAGAAGAAAAAGGGTAAATTTTTCTTGTCACTCCGTTCATTTTTAGCAAGTTAAAATATATATTTTTCTAGTGTAATTGTGTGTGTTGAAACCGAATATGACCTTCCTTTTTGGCGGAAATTAGCCGTTTTTTTTTAAGCGATTTTTTTTCGTTTGACGTTTTCCGAGAAAAAATTGGCTAAGCGACTAAAAAATACACACAAAAAAACACTAGAAAAACAATGACCAAACCAAACCTAACCTAACTTAGCTTAACTGACTCTCACCATATGATGGAATCGCCTATTTCTTACCTGATTGGCCTGGTTCTTGTTCGTCGTTGCATTCTGGGATTCTTACACAACGCCACACATGTTGGTCTTTGCGATATTTACATTCAGTCTTACTCTTAGTACACTTTACTGAGGTTGGAAGAACACCATGCGATCCAAAAAATGCTATAGTTTCTACGTTTTTTTTTTTCCAAAAACTCGCAATCAGCTCCATATACTTTAAGTGACATCCATCGCAGACTTCCATGGTCGGAACTGAACTTGAATTTCAAAATATGAGACCCAAAATAAAACTCGATTTTGATTGGGCCAAATATACTCTGAATTAAACCCAAAACCATTTTAATTGGTTCCAAAAGCAAAAAGGCTTTTGATTGGCCGCGTGACGTGTGTAGCAACGCATGCGCAGGATGATTTATGAAGGAGACGCAGGAGACAAGCGGTGTTGGAGGAGAGGCAGACAATAATGGCTGAATGTTAATGGAAGAAAATAGAAAATATTTTGGAAAAGCTATCTCCGTTATTTTACATTTCCGCCGGTAATGTAATAGATGAAAATTATCTTATAATTAGACGTCTTATTCGAATATGATAATAGATTAGTGGTAGGAATGAACGGTGTGTAAAGAAAATAATACCAGAAAAAGGTAATACTGTGTTAATCTACACCACGAAGATGCCGGAAAACCAGCTTTTTAAAGTGAGACATTGTATAAGTATGGAAACACAGAAGAAGGCAGAGCATTCCACAGTTTGGCTGTATGAGGAAAGAAGGAGGCACTATAACGGGTTATTCTCGTGTGACCGACATCCACAGAGAAACGGTGGGTACCACGGGCAAGATGTGTGTTACGAGTCCATGGCCTTGCCGGCGGTACACAGGATGCCAAATCCACCGAACATTGCCCGTTAAAGTACCTGTAAAAGAGAGAGAGTGAAGCAACATTGCGGCGAAGAGAAAGGGAAGAGAAATTGTCGACAGTGAGTTCTAATATGATAATCATTTCTTGTGCAAATGCTTCGTTTGGTAGATAATTAGGTGCCTAGGCGCGCACTACTTAGTCTTCTCGGCGGTAATGTGGTGGACATCTCATCCCAGGATGTAAACAGCCGTTCATATTGACATATTTCAAAACATTCTGGCGACCGGGCTTGATGATTTTGATCAACGCCGATGCTCAATGTATGCTTATGAACCATTTGGTTTTGGGTGGCTGCTCTCACGTCCACAAAAAACGTAAAATTATATCATATCATATGGTAAGTTCTTTCTGTTTAATATACTGGGGGGAAATTGGGTAAGGTTGGGTAGGTTTGTTTGATTAGGTTGGTGAGGTCTTCTAACAACGCTTCTGCTGCTTCCGGCCAATCAGCGATCTGTTGGAGATGACACTGGCCTACGAATGCAAATTTAAATTAGTTTGAACATGGAACCATTGTGTACTGCTGATAACTGTTCTTTCATTGCAAAGTACAGTACCACGGCAATAATGAGGCAGCTGTTGAATTCCTGAGAAACCACTGTTAGGATTAGGTTTGATTAAGTGTGGTTTACCGAGGTTTTTCATTGCAATTCTAGCAATTTTTACTCAGGTTTCTATTGCAAACCACTTGTGTTGTGTTGGTCTCATAAAAATACTATTTCTATAAAAATTTTGTGGTTGTACAAAATTGCAAATTTACCTTTAATTATTCCTAATACTCTTAATTTATAACTAAATGAGGTTAGGTTAAGGTTTGTTAATTCATGTGTTGGTTTTCATAAATGATTTAATACTGTATACAGTAGCTTACTAACGAGACCCTGGAAGGTTCTTTCTGGGGCTTTGCTACATGTTACATGTTCAGTGTGAGGTGTTATTACTGATGCAGTGGTAACAACCCTCACACACATTGCTAACATTTCCACTGTATTTATATCATGTTCTGTTTGCAGTTTCTCGAAAAATATTTAAAAGAAACTGAATTTTGATCATTGGGACCTCAGTAGTATCTTGTGTTATTGTGAAAATAAAAAAGCTTTCCATGTCTATGTCTTTGAGGCATAATTTAAAACATGATACGGTAATAGAATTCTTCACATGTCAAAGTCTTATTGCCATGATTGAAAATTTCAGTCTACAAATGTGACAGATTTGTGTGCCGAAACTCTTCTCAGATATTCAATATTTATACTGTTATAGTGTATTTATAAGTTATTCTTGGCTAAAATTCATATAAAAGAAATGGTAATTTCACGTTAATGACCCTCACATTTTCCTGTAACAAACCTCACAGTCGCATTAAATAATCTAATTTGCCAGTATGGTCATGAACCTTATTCATTGACTTACTACTGATATGAAGCACTCTTTGATTGAACCAGTCATTTCACAGATATTATGAAATTAACAAGTGGAATTAACTTGATGGGTAATAGCCCTCCCAGTAGCTTTGAAATTAATAATAAAATCATATTATAACAGGGACATTCTTTTTAATGGCATAATGTAACTGAGTGTTGGTAACACTGTACAGTATATACTATAAGAGGCATTTGATCATACAGTTTACTTTAGTACTGTAATATAACTGGGAATACATGAATAAGTTTTCTTCAAATGTAACGAACCTCGCGATAGAATGACCCGGTACAGGGGGCTCCCCAAATTTGCAGATTTTTATTTTGTGGTCCTCTATTATTCACGGACGACACTCTGGGTGTACCCAAGAATGTCTGTGGGTAACTTGAAAGTTGCTGTCATTTTTGCAGCTGGGACAGGGAGCCATTCTTTCTAGAGACAGTCATTTCATTTACCTGTACCGCATTGTAAATGTGTGTGTGTGTGTGTTGACACACACACAAAACACGTACAAATAAATAATATTGGGAAAATTCTCTCGCAAATAATCAGAAACAAGTTTATTAAAATTGTGAGTCTACCCTCAAGTCCGTGCTTTATTAGTCTGTGTCTGTGTTTTATTAGTAAAGCACGGACTTGAGGGCAGACTCACATTTTTAATTAATTTGTTTCTGGTTATTTATGAGAGTATTTAACCATTTTTATTTATTTGTATGTGTTTTGTGTGTGTGTGTCTACACGTATATACAATACAGGTAAAAAAATAATTGTCCTAAGGGTAAACACATAATGGGAATGAACATTTCTTTGTACACAAGTAAAAATGTTATTCGCAGAATTGGCGATTCGCGGCCATTTTGAGAACCTAACACCCCCACGAATTTGGGGGGCCCCTTGTATGGTGTTTTCTTTCGAGCACAGTATGAGGAGCTATGAAATAGTAGCACCTCAAATTCATAAGTAGAGCATAAAGGAACCTCACTGACATGTTCGTTTCCTTGCATGAAATTTTAATGTGGTATGGGAGCAAGGAAAACTGTGACCAATCTTAAGAAAATTATATGTAAAATATTCCTAGAAATGTCAATATTTCATCTGTTTACATGTTTGTCTGCCTATGGCATTAAACATTTCTTAAATTAGATGATACTAACTACCCAAAGCTAACCAAACCTAACATTTGTAGGGGGAATGAAAAATGATATTGACCCATTTGACTTTAGAAGCACTTTTGATGTTGATTTATTTTGACTATGTATAGACGTTTTTCGTGTGATACAAGCTATTAATGCAGCATTATTCATAATTGACTACCCATGTAGGAACTGAAGCCTTGTTACTCTTTTATAAGATGGCAGATTATTCACTGATTAGATACTACTGTAACTGTACTGTACTTATATTGTTGAACCTCTAATGAAAGTGATAAAGTTTCAAATAGTACAGTTATTATCAATGTGTACATTGATCAATAAAATTGAAAACAATATTTTCAGGAAAGCATAAGGGAGGCCGGCGCCAGTTCACCAACTTTGAGGCGATGGAGGCACAGAAGAAGAAGGAGGAGAAGGAACGTCAGTGGAGAGTGAGTTAAAAAAAAAATTGTATATCGAGGCTAGGCTTTACAGTTTAAAGAAATTTAATTCACTGGTTTGTTATACAGTATAAAATACTGTAATATACAGGGGGGGGGGATATATATATACAGTATATATATAAGTTTACCAAAATGGCCTCTGATGATGATTAAGATTGATTCTCAAACTAAGACTTTTCAACTTTTCTTGTACAGCATAAAATGTTACTCCTAACCATGTTGTAACATTGACAAAGTAACAAATTCATATAGTTTTTTTACATAAAGTGCTAAATGCTGTACAGGTAGTTCTGCTATAACGCGATAATTGTGTTCTTGTAAAATATCGTGTTATAGAAAATCGCGTAATAGAAATAACAGGACTTATGGAGAAAATAGGGTTAGGTGCAGATTACTCGAAATCGAAAAAATTTAGTAGTTAGCCTAACACAAAGGATAGCACAGTCTAAATAAATGTTACATTCATATCTAATAATGAAATCATACAGTAAATGTAACACTTTACTTGATGGGGGAGAAGGGTGATTTTGAGGTTGATAAAATCGAGCTTCTCTTCAAGTGTTATATCCTTTCTTTTACGATCATTACCGGGAATTCTATCACCAGAACGCTTCTTGTTGATATTCTTCTTTACTATATTCACAGTTAATACTGTACGACAAAATTGGAGAAATAGTAAGCAAAAATCACGTTATAGCAAACAAGCGTTCGCGTTATACAAATATCGTTCCTAATTCATAAATCGCGTTAGAGCAAATTCGCGTTATCAAAACACGCGTTATAGCAGAACTCACTGTACTTAGTGCAAAAAAAATACACTATTACAGCTCTGAGTATTACTGTACTGTAATATGGTACACTAGTGGTTTACTTAATTGGAGTTGTGGTTTATAAGTAATTTTTACCTGGCCTACATTCTCACTCCCTTAAACTGGATAATTTCATAATTGGCTATTGTCAGGTCCCTAGGTTGCCAAATTTGAGAGATTTAATCTCTATTAGATTATAAAGGAGGTCTGGAGTTTACAAAAACATACATTTCAATATTTTGTTAGGATTAATGCATTTACCTTTTGAATTTTGCAGAAAGAGCAGGGGGAGGAGACAGACAGTGATGAAGAAAAGGAGAAATCAGGGAGTAGTTCCTCTTCTGAGGAAAGTAGTAGTGAAGAAGGAGAGGTAAAGGAGCTGAAGGCAAAGGGTGTTGGGGGTTTGATAGAATGTGAAAACCCCAACAGAGTTGCCAGTAAACCTAAAAAGGTGACCACCATTAATACTACTGCTACTGGTTCAGGTGGTGCTTCTAGTACTGCCAAACCTCATCTATCTCGACGTGAGAGGTAATAAGCTGAAAGACAGTAAACTGTGTGTACTGTACTGTATTATCATTATGTTGACAAAAATTGTATTTATAAATTTGCATAACTACGTCATTCATGTTTATAGTACAGTACTGTATATGTTATTGTGTGAAGTGGATTGTCATTGTGAATTTGGGGTTGTGCTGCTTCAGATGTAGTAGTAGTTTTACTCAAAGTGGCCAGCACCCAGTCTCTTAACAGATGGAATATCTTAGAAATAAGAAGCATCACTTAATATTGTGCAAGCACATTAGAAGCTGGCACTATTGAATTGGACTCTAAAGGGTTTCTTCTCGATTAAAGGTCTATTTTACTGTACAGTACTTTGTTTTCTTCCATTACTCTGCGATTTAATTCATCACTGACACGTTTGCTCCCAGACATGATGGCCTTCACATTCTCCCTTTTTCACCATTTAGACTATCATTCACTTTTCCCGTTATTACACTCAATTTTAATTTCCTCTTAGTACTGTTAATGCACTAACATTTCTAACTCGCCTGAACTGTTCATGAGAGCAGTATCATCAACAAATAGCTGGTGACTCCCCATCCATTTGGATCCCATATCACTATCTACCACATATCTACCCTTTTCACTATTCTTGCTTTTACTTGTCTATACTTCCCATCCTTGAAAATATTAAACAACAACAGCTGTTTTATAAATCTTTGACATAGTCCTACTATCACTGAGAACCAGTTTGCCTTTTTCTGACACTACAATATGTCTCACTCACATTAAAAACTGTAGACCGAATTCAATAATTCACCATTTACATCTTAAATTTTCAGGACTTCCCACATCATATTTCTTTCTTCTCCATCATAAGCATTTTCCAGATCCCAAAATGCCACAATCAAAATCTTTCCTTTCTTTGGGACACATCCCCTTTCTGAACCCACACTGCTCTCCTCTAATGAACTGTGTTTGCAACAGTTTTATTCTTTATTGCTCAACTATTCACTATATACATGCACAGTAAATAAGGAGGGTTTTTTTATAATACAGAACTGTATGAAAATTTTATAAGTATGCAAATGATATTATGCGGTTTGTTTATTTTCCAGGGAAGAGATTGAGAAACAAAGGGCAACAGCTCATTACCGAAAATTGCATGCAGAAGGCAAGACTGATGAGGCTCGAGCTGATCTTGCTCGTTTAGCGCTTATTCGACAACAACGTGAAGATGCTGCTAAAAAAAAGGAGGATGAGAGGAAAGGTATATACTGTACTGTATGAATATTGCTTTTCTTTGAAGGTTGGTTTTATTTTTAATTTTTGCGTGCGATTACAGCTCCTCCCCGACTTAACAACGGGGTTAGGGACCCAAATCCAGGTCGTAAGTCGAAAATGCTTAAATAATACCCTGTACATAGAAAATCTAAAATGGTTGTCTCTTTTTCTTCTCAGCACCACAAAACTCTCACTTTTAAGCTTGCCAGCCATTTTAAAGTGAATTACAAACAAAAATTTTGTCTGTACTGACGTTGGGACTCGAAATACGTAATTTGACAAAATTTGGGTATGACTGAGGCAGTTCGTAAGTGCTGTATAGTCCCATTTGTGGGGGCTGTATAGTCCCATTTGTAGGGGGCTGTATAGTCCCATTTGTAGTGTCTGCTGTTTGAATCCTCACTTCTGTCCTGGTACAGTACATTATTGATTTGCACTCCTCTGGCATTGACCGGAATGTTGCACTAATTCTGATAAACCTTGCTACCTATAGCTATTATTTACTGCTCTTTCTTATTATCATCAGTGTAGTTCTACTGCATTTCAATCCTCACTTCTGTCCTGGTACAGTACATTATTGATTTGCACTCCTCTGGCATTGACCGGAATGTTGCACTAATTCTGATAAACCTTGCTACCTATAGCTATTATTTACTGCTCTTTCTTATTATCATCAGAACTGTAGTTCGCTACATACATTTCAATACAGAAGGCCTTGACAATTCACGGATTTTTAATCCGCGGATCTCGATTATTCACGGATTACACCCTGGATGTACCCAAGAATGTCTAAGGGTAGTTTTAGAGTTGCTGGCTTTTTTGCAGCTGGGGCAGGGAGCTATTCATTCCAGAGACAGTAATTTTTTTTATCTGTATTGTATGTAATAATAATAATAATAATAAACGGTTTATTAATAGAGTTGCAGCCTGTGGCTGAAAATATACAGACTTACATTTGATTTAGACATGATATAATATGCATTGAATGCATTTACAGGGCTGTACAGTACATAAATCATGAGTTGTTTATTATTTTAGCAATAGATGGGATGGTGCTGTTCTTATATCTATCAGTGCGGGCTCTTATGGGCTGAATTTTGTTGTAGTGGCGGACTGCGCGAGTTGGGTGGGGGGCTGCAGGAGGTGGCAATGGCGAGGGTGGTGCAGTAGTCCACGGCCAAACCTTTCCAGTGCTTGGTGGTGGAGGTCACTGAGGGATGGCATTTCCAGGGTGGAGAGAGCGTTGGTGTAGCCGGAGTATTCTGCGCCGAGCATGATTCTGCAGGCCCTTTTCTTTACCTTCTCTAGCTGACGTTGTTGGGTGGAGTTGAGAGAAGACGTCTGTGTGTGCTTGTAGACACACGGGCACAAAACACATAAAGATAAATAATAATGGGAAAATCCTATTGCAAATAGTCAGAAACAAGACAATAAAATGTATTAAAAATGTGAGTCCACCCTCAGGTCAACTCTGTGCTTTGTTAATAAAGCTATTTTTACCCTTATTATTTATTTGTATGTGTTTTGTGTGTGTGTGTGTGTGTGTCTACACATACACACATATATACAATACAGTTAAAAGAAATAATTGTCCTAAGGGCAAACACATAAGGGAATATACATTCTTTGTACACGAGTAAAAATGTAACTGCCGCCTTCTCCCGGTCAGCAAATGTTATTTGCAGATTTGGCTATTTGTGGCCATTTTGAGAATTATCTCCTACGATTTTTAAGGGCATACTGTATTCAGAATTTTTATTTTATTTTTATTTTATTTTTTTAATTCCTGTACTCCCCAATGATAAGTAACTAAAATATTCTCTTCTCAATTCGCAAGGGATTACACATTACAGCAATGCATAAGCATCATTGGTTTGCTGCATTTTTCAATATATTGTTGTACATTACGGTTTCTGGCAATTCAACTGTTATTGAAAAAATGCATATTGTATAAGTAAACCATGTAAGGCAAAAGAATGTAGGTTTAGGGGCAACTACACTTTACTCTCTATTTAGCTGAAGGAATTTTTGTCCGTTATTTTTCCCTCAATTTAGTGAACTACAGTAGTTACCTAAATCGAGATTAATTCCGTTAATACACTCACACCTACGGAGACACCTCAGATGCATGATATGTACTATCGTGCACAAAAGTTGTGTTCACTACCCAGCCACAGTTAGGGTTCGAATAGCCTGAGTCTGAAGTTTTGAAACAGCTGGGGGAAATGCTATGGTCGGCCAATAGATGTCGCCCTGTGTTGTGTGGATGGGGATGTGGGGCATGGAGAGGGGAGGGAGCAGGAGGTGGGGGTTAGTCTAGTAACAGGCTGTATGTAGGTGGAGCATAACATCGTGAATTCCGCAATCACTGAAAACAAAGAATGTCATGAAGATACAGTGATCCCTCGGTTAACGAGCGCCTCGGTTAATGAATTACCTTCCATAAGATTCTTAATTTCGGTTAACGAGCAATCCCTCGATTAACGAATTCCTTATGAGCGCCCCTCAACATGTTTTCGCTTGCACACTAGCTGTCATATTAGTCCGCCAATACAGTAATCGGTTCTAGGGCTTAAATTCCTTACTGTTTTCGTAAATATCAAGAAGTTTGTACTATTCAATAATTTTAAAAGTCTTGTATTAAAATTTTTAGTAATTTTAACAATTATTTAACAATTTAAGTACAGGGAAACTAGTTTTTAGCGCCCCAAACAGCCTGTCAACACACCATACAGGCGTCAGTCTCTGTGTATTTTTAGTGGAGGTAACATCTTGCTTCGGACTCTCTTCAACATAAACGATATTTTTCTGTTTTTCCAGTCAAATTATTGGTTATTTTGAAATTTATTTTACATATTGATGATATATAGCGCAGTGCAGTATTGATTTAAAGAAAATATTCTTTATTTACAGCAATTAAACTTAAAATATCACATGTTGAAATTGTTTTTGAATCCAACATGGGTCCCAAGAAATCAAGAAAAGCGATTTCAATCCAGGTGAAACAGGAAATTATTAAGAAACATGAAGAAGGCATTAGAACAAGTGTGCTTAGCAAAGAATATGGCATGTCGACATCAACTGTGTCGACAATTCTTTCACAAAGACAAATTCAAGGAAGAGAAATTGAGAGACAAATCTACCAGAGTGTTCAAAGGTTGATCCCTAATAACAGAAACAGAGAGGTTACTTCTCATTTGGATTAGGGAAAAACAGATGAAAGGTGATTCAGTTTCTACTGAATTTATTTGTGAAAGAGCCAGGGAAATATACGAACATTTAAAGGTAGATCAACCTGGTTCTTCAGGCACAGACTCTGAAAAGTTTAGGGCCAGCAAGGGGTGGTTTGAAAAATTTAAGAAAAGAAGTGATATTTTTAGTGTTGTTAGGCATGGTGAGGCTGCCAGTGCTGAAAAGGAAGGGGCAGCAAAATTTTTAGTGGAATTTAAAGAACTGGTGGATTACAGAAAATTATCTTCCACAGCAAGTGTTCAATGTGGAGTTCAAGCAACAAAAAGTGGTAGAGGACGGCTTGGAGTTTATTGGAATTCCAACCGTAAGGCATGGGTAACAAGACAGCTCTTTTATGAATGGGCTGTTGAGGTGTTTTGCCGTTTTGTGAAGAGCTACCTAACCACCAATAAACTCACTTTAAAGGCTCTTCTCCTTATGGATAATGCCCTTGGTCATGACCCTTAACTTGCCAGCACTTTGGAGTCTCAATTTGACTTCGTGAAATTGTTGTTTTTGCCTCCCAACACTACATCAATCATACAACCAATGGACCAGAATGTGATCAGCAACTTTAAGAAGCTGTACATGAAGAAAATGTTCAGGAGGTGTCATCAGGCAACTACCACTGATCCTGATCTAACACTGGCACAGTTCTGGAAAAGACAGTTTAACATCCTGGAGGCTGTAAAATTGATTGTGTCCTCATGGCAAGAAGTCTCCACTAGATCCCTCAATTCTTCATGGAAAGCACTGTTGCCATCAGTAGTCCATGATTTTGAGGGATTTCAGGAAGAAGCACAGTTGGACCAGGAGATTGTGTCCATTGGTCAGTCATTGGGCCTTGAAGTGGAGGAGGATGATGTAGAAGAGCTTGTGATGTCTCATGTGCAGGAACTTACTCCTGAAGACTTGCAGCAACTGGATGAGATGTTAGAGGCTGACAGTGGTGAGGAGGAAAAGGAAAGTGATGACCAAATGTCAACTTCAGAGTTGAAAGATGTTGTTGACCACTGGGAGAAGTTCAGGAAACTGGCTTCAAGGCACCCAGATGTGGAAAAATCAGAACTAGCTTTGTGTAATGTTGAGGACACAGTGGTCTCCTTCAAACATCAGTTAATGATGAGGAGCGGAGATGCCCCACAGACAAAAATTGGCAGTTTCTTTACTAAAAGGCAGTGGGAACAAGATGCTAGCTCTCAGTCTTCCACTTCAAGAAGGAGAGAGGATGTTCCTGCTGGAGAATCTGTCAGTCCAGAGGTTCCTGACATTTTCATGGAAGGTGACTCGCCTTCCAAGAAGCAGTAAAATTCTTCTCCTCCACCTCCACTTCCTTCTCTTCTCCCTTCTCCTCCTCCACCTGCCACTTCAAATTCACATCAGCATCATCATCCAACACCTCAAAGTAAGTGTACTTTACTACCTTTTTTGTTGACCTTAGGCAATTTTCAGTGAGCTGGAACCAATTGCCCAAAAACCCATTGAAACAATGGTTTCGGTTAACGAGCAACCTTCAAGAACGAATTATGCTCGTTAACCGAGGGACCACTGTATATAAAAGCCTGCATCAGTTACTGCAGCATAATATTACTCTGCCATTTCAGATATGCCTGCAGGACGAGCAAATTCGTCGGCAGTGATTGCTGAGCGAGGCCAAATCATCGGGATGTGGAGAGCCGGGGCAACTGTGCCGGACATTGCTCTCGAAGTGGGGAGGAGCACCAAGACGATTAGGAGGTGGATCCGCCGGTGGGA